CCCCAAAACCCCAAAACCCCAAAACCCCAGAATAAGTATTCTAGATTGGATTATACAAAAGTAGGGGTTCTTTCAGTAACAGGCATGCTGCAGTTATTCACCATATTGATAGGATATCACTGGTAGTCCTTCTTAGCGCCTGGCCAGGCACTAAGAAGGTGATTATTGGTGATCTCACTTGCAAGTTTGTGATAAAACTCCTTGTAGCGATCCCCACTCTCTGGGTCTGAGAAGAGCTTATCCATTTCGTACACATGCTCCTTGTCCTCACTGAAGATCGCACGAAGATACAATAGAGTGTTGACCTGCTCTACTGATAAGGAAGGTATTGAGGCTGGCTGAGAGTAAGGATTTGAGCCTGAATTTGTGTAGTATTTTATATAAGACAGAAAACTTTGCAAGCTATTTGACTTGCTACTGATCAATACTCTTATTTTAGTTTTATCAGGAGAAGTATTTACAGAACGACTGATATTCTTAGCCATTGTATTGTAGAAAATAGATCTGTCAAGTTCATAATCTGTGATAAATGAATATACACTAGAAGGAGCTGTTGATATCTTAATAGGATTTCATTTCACTCATCCCTTCTTTTTGAAGCATTTATTAAGTACATAATCTAGCCTATCGATAAAAATTCTATGCTGTATAACCTTATAAGCATCCTTTGCTCCCTCAAGTTCCATATTGGTGACATAATACTGCATAAGTTCGTTGAGAGTAGGGCTAATGAGTCCAGTCTTGATATCTAGATTTCCTTTTCCCATAACAAATAGTATATTGAGCAAGATGCTATATCCAATATTAATCTGTTTGGTCTTGAAGCAGTTTTCATAAATGATCCTACTCTGCTGCTCGACTTTAAAGTCTTTCGAGTCTTTCAATAGCACATGAAAGTACTCCTTTAGCTCTTTTGCAGAGTCAAAGAACCTCTTAGAGTGGTCATAGTTTAGAGAATGTTGATTTTTAGACACATCTGAGGAGTAATGCCACCTCATAAGGTCTTTATAGTAAGGTTTTTGATCAATAAGCACTACATCTGGGCCAATACTATACTGTTTAGAAATTTCACGCTCTAATGATTCAATATCATGGTCTACAGTCTGGACGAAGGTGACTGTGGTTCCATTCTTCAGATGTTTTACAGTATATTCTTGCTCAATTTGGCTGATTTCAAACTCATAGTGTTTGTCTCTAGTTTCTTTGTCGATTCCAGTCTCTTGAAGAATTAACTCATGAATCCCTCCAATTGTCTCAGTGCGTTCCTTCTTTTTCTCAATATCTTCATCTATATCAAAGAATTCGGTTAGCCTTCTGGAATAATTGAGCTTGGTTTTGATGAAGTCATCCATGTTGTCAAACTCCTGCTTCGAAAGAAGATGACAGTCAGATATGAGATTTTTGTAGAGCTTCTGCACATTCCCATCGACCTGCATCGTCTGGATGGCTTCCAACCTCTCTTTTACATTTTCTGGCGATTTTGAAGCCCTGTCAAGATTCAGGAGATGGACTCTGTAAGGAAGATTACTAGCAATAGAAGGAGTCATCAATTTAGTTTCCTTTAGAATTTGATATAATTTCGTACAGTAGCTTATCCCTGCAGCATTAATCTGTTGCTCAAAACTATGTCTGTTTTGTCGGAACACTGAGATTAAGAAATCTTTGTACGTTTTCAGGTTCCTTCAGCTTCCGAGCTGAATTCTCTTCCGCATCGAGAACAGTCTTCTCGTAGTTTTAGGGTTCATATTTACGGCTGATAATTTTCAATTTAAGTGCTTAAAATTGGGGTTTTGGGGTTTTGGGGTTTTGGGGTTTTGGGG